CGCACAACGAGTCTGTGTGCAAAATGTCAGCTCGATTGGATCACGGGAAGTCGGTTAAAAAACGACTGAAAGATTTGCACGGTCGTGAGCGCGCAAGCAAGCAAGCAAGTGAACTTAATATAAAGGATTTAAAAATAACCCCTGCCCCGATTAAACCCGGATATAGTTTGGCCCAGGCCAGAGTAGACCCGGGGGATAAAGTGTCCTAGGCTAAACTATACCCGGGGGTTTAAACTAGACTGGTCCAGACCATACCCCCCCTCCAGGGCAGAACATGCCCCATGTGAAAGTTCAAAGGCAATTATCCATACAGAGAACAGCCGACAACGGACTTCAATCGATATCTAAAAAGCGTATAAATGGAAGTAAGAATCTCAATTTGATCAATTGAAGCATTTTTAGGGTTATTATCAGTTTTTCTGGTTGAAGTAATCAAAGTCTATGTGTTTACAGTTTTAAATAAAATGTTGGAAAAATTTAGTAATTCATGTGTATATCACAAATACCAGCTATTAAAGCAAATCCTGGAAGGAAAAATCGAAGGGAAAAAACGACCAGGACGGCCAAAAACGACATGGCTCAGTAACATCAAAACATGGCTACAATTAACAACAGCACAAACTCTACACGCCGTGCTAGACCGGGACCAATATCATCGTGAAGTCGCACACGCCGTTAGGCAGCACTAAACAAGAAGATATCGCTCAACACTATTACTATCATGGGGGTATGATTTGGCCTAGAGGGGTATAATTTGGCCTCGGCCATGATACACCCGGGTACAATGTAGCCTAGGCCGCTTGAACCCCGGGTAGACTACGGCCTGTTGCACCGGCACGGGCTGTGTGAGCTGGGCCGCCTTCACAACCAACGAGACGCCGCCGCTGCCAATTGGGACCAAGACGGCAGCGCTGCCTCCACCGGTCCGGTGAGGTCATTCTCAACAGGAGATTTTTGTTTTTCGATTTGAAGCTTTCGTGACTGCAGGGATTCATATTGTTGGTTCTTTCGGTAGAGTCACGTAGAAGGGAAGTAATAAAATAATAAAAATAAAAGATAATGAAACAAAATATAATAAAATATTTTATTATATTAAATTATTGTTTTATTTTATTATTTTATTACTTGCCTTATAAGTGACTTATATAATAATATGTTATATTATTATATTATTTATTATATCATATTATTTTATTATGTTTTATTCTTATTATTTTATTACTTCCCTTCTACGTGCCTTTACCGAAAGAACCAAGAAGAGATTTTTTTTCGATTTGAAGATTTCGTGACTACAGGGATTCATATTCTTGGTTCTTTCGGTAAAGTCACGTAGAAGGAAAATAATAAAATGATAAAAATAAAACTATACAATTCTCACGACGTTTCGATTGCAACGCAAGCAATCATCATCAGGTGTGAAAACCACAGCAATATTGTTTTTGTTGTTGTGGGTTTTCATAAACTGATGATTGCTTGTGTTGCAATCGAAACGTCGTGTTAATTTGATTCTTACATTTTTATTATTTTATTATTTCCCTTCTACGTGACTTTACCAAAAGAACCAAGAATACAGTAGATTTTTATTAATCATTTTACTTTTCCAGGTAAGGCCCCCACTGAGCTGTGTAGTAGCGACCTGGCTATCACAAATGACAGCAGCGCACCGAAGTGGCTTATCACGTGACATTTACAGCAGCCAAATACTCTGAACACATGTGGAGATGTTAACTACCTCTCCTGGTATACAGGAGATCGTGTGTTTGATTCCGACCCTGACGCCTGCTGTATATTTTGAGTTTGCGCGTCTCTCTCTCTCTCTCCCCGTGGTCGTGTGGATTTTCTCCAGGTCCTCCGGTTTTCCCTCGACATTTAGAATCGAAATCACGCAATCAGAGTATTTGGCCGCTATAAATGTCCACACAATGATAAGCCACTTCGTTGAGCTTTCATTTGTGATGGCCAGGTGGTCGCGTCTGATAAAAGAGCTACTACGTATCCAGTTGGACCTTACTTGGTAGAATCCCAAGATAATGTTTGTTAGTTTAAGTATGTATATATCATTTTAAACAGAATCACAAACTAACGCTCAACTTTCTTAAACGTGCAAGAGTCAACGCGCGCCACCACCGTGCGACATCACGCGAGCAACCGGGACGACGCAGAAAATCTCTCAACCCTTTCCCGCGTCCGAGACGTCTGCAGAGTTGCAGGGTCGGTGGGTGTCACCGTTCACGGGGTGGGTGTCACCGTTCACAGGGTGGGTGTCACAAGGGTGGCACAGTCGGGTTTTTTACAATCGGGTTTAATTGTCTTTTTATATTAAACCCGATCATCTAAGATTGAGAGAAATCCGGTTTCATTGGTTCTAATTGCAGAACCGCACTTCTCAACGATGGGCTTCATCCATTCCAAGCTAAGGAACTCACTGGCGCCCACGATTGTGGAGAAGCTCGTGTTCATTAAGACCAACCTGCCCGCCGCATTCTACGACTACCCCGTGCCCGACGGCCCCGAGTACCATAGCAGCACCGACGAGGAAGCAGCCTAAGCCTATCAGAGTTTCGTATTCATTAAACCAGGTTTTAATTCCCCGAAATCGGGTTTAATTGTGTTAAAGAAAAAACCCGATGCCTGCAGCTGGAAAAATCGGGTTTTTTCCACCCATGTGGTGTCACCGTTCACGGGGTGGGTGTCACCGTTCACGGGGTGGGTGTCACCGTTCACGGGGTGGGGGTCACAGGTCACGGGGTGGCTGTCACCGTTCACCGCAGCAGTGGCAGCAGCAGCAGCAGCAGCACTGCTGTTGTTGTTATAAAGGCGTCGTTGCTCACCGCAGAGAAGCGTAGCGACACGACCGCCGCCACTCTGCGCTAGCCGGCGCGAAAACTGTGCCACACTCCCTGCCCCGCGTGGCCCTGTGGGAGCCTCGGTACCGATAATGTTGCTTTAGTTTTTACTGCGTTTTGTTATTCCGACGACGACGTTCACGCACGGCGCGCGGCGTCATCGCGACGGCAAAGGGTTAAGTTCACGCTGGGAACATTTTCAACGGGGGAGGCAGCAACAACACGCAGGGTGATCCAAGTGCAGATGCCCCAATCATACCTACACCCCCCTCCCCCAACGCCCTCTCGGAATATTTTTTCAGACCGCAGGAATCCGATGAGCTATGAAGCTCTTCTTCGCAGATCTCCAGCCGTTCCACAGATGTCCTCTCCTAACACCCCCCCCCACCTCCTCCCCGTAGCTTTCCTCTCAGCGGCAAAGTGAATATCGCGCAAGCGATGGCTCAGGGCTACGGGACTGAGTGCACGGAGATTTGTGAGCGGATGCCACCTTCGTCATCGGCCGCGGTTCAGTCTACCGCTGGATGGGTACGTACTGTACGTACTGTACGTACGTCGCACGGGGCAGGGCTACGAGACGGCACGCGGTGCGCATGGAGACCGGCGGGAGACGTGCAGACTGGGGTATCTGTAGGTGGATCGCCCTGCGGTGTCCCCCTCTAGGGTAACAACAGTGCAGCTCTGCACGGGGGACTCTGCACACTCACACACACAGGGACCCCCAGGTGATGGGGGTGGGGGGGGACACGTGCAGTGGTTGGGACCTAGAACTCCGCACTTGCAATCGAGGGGTGGCCAGGTCGGTTTAATCTCCCACCCCCCACAGAGTGTGAGGCAGGTGTAGGAGGGTCCGTAGGTTTCCGTGTTCACATTCAAAATCAGTTTCAAGAGTGGCACAGCCTCGGCTAGTCACGTGGCCTGTTGTTTAAAACTAATTCACAGCTCGGCGCTGTGCGCGTTTTGCTCAGGATGGCTGACTTTTCTGTTTCCACGGGAATGAGAAAATGCATTCTGGCCGGTGTGTGTTCTCTGGTGCCGGCAAAGACTGGATGGGTCTGCAAACACCTTCTCACACACGGTGCACTTGAACGGCTTTTCTCCCGTGTGTGTTCTCTGGTGCCTGTGAAGATCTGATAGCTGTGCAAACGCCTTCTCACACACAGTGCACTTGAACGGCTTCTCTCCCGTGTGTGTTCTCTGGTGGCTGTGAAGATGTTGTAAATGTGCAAATGCCTTCTCACACACGGTGCACTTGAACGGCTTCTCTCCCGTGTGTGTTCTCTGGTGGCTGTGAAGATGTTGTAAATGTGCAAATGCCTTCTCACACACGGTGCACTTGAACGGCTTCTCTCCCGTGTGTGTTCTCTGGTGGCTGTGAAGATGTGATAGCCGTGCAAACGCCTTCTCACACACGGTGCACTTGAACGGCTTCTCTCCCGTGTGTGTTCTCTGGTGCTTCTTCAAGGTACTCTTGTAGTCTGTGCTGTATGGACATTGGTCACACTGATGACTTTTGTTACTGGGCTTAGTGGGGTGTCTGCTCTGCACGTGATACTGTAGACTCGAGCGGCAGATGAACTGACGGTTGCAGGCAGGACACGGCAGCCTTGTGACCTCCACACCCACTCCACCTGCGTCATCCCAGAGGAACAAGACACACGCGCACACACCAACATCTAGACATGAACACTCTTGCACACGTGTGTGTATACACAAAGGTAAAGGTTTCCCACAGCCATATCAGACTGTTGGGCAAGTGCTGTTTGCGAGTACCTATGAAGGCCGGCATGGCACACGAGGGAGTAGGTGGCCAACACCAGGCCCGGCCGCCTTTGTCTCTCCAGTGGCGATGTTTCCACGTTTAAGCTAGGTACTCATTTGAGGCTGAGTCAGCCTAGGGGAGGCCTAAATATTCACCACTGACGTTGGCCGTGAGTGGGAATCGAACTCAGGTGGCCGGGTTCGTAGTGCAGTGGGCTCCATTATATATACACACAAAGACAAAGAACCCCCATATAGCCTGTATATACTTTTGGGACAAGTGCTGTTATGGGCACCAATGAAAGCCAACACGGCACACGAGTGGGAGGGTGGCCAGCACCACACATAGCCGCCTTTGTCTCCCCAGTGGCGATGTTTACTACTACACACCACACCAGTTACTCACTTCCACCTTATCAGTGTGGCTGGTGCCTATCATCTCTGGTGAGTGGTGGCTGTCATCTCTGGTGAGTGGTGGCTACCAACTCTGGTGAGATGTGGCTATCATCTCTGGTGAGTGGTGGCTATCATCTCTAGTGAGTGGTGGCTATCATCTCTGGTGAGTGGTAGCTACATCCACATCTCTGGTGAGATGTCGCTATCATCTCTGGTGAATGGTAGCTATCATCTCTACTGAGTGGTGGCTATCGTCTCTGGTGAGTAGTGGCTATCGTCTCTCGTAAGTGGTGGCTGCCATCTCTGGTGAGTGGTGGCTATCATTTCTGGTGCGTGGTGGCTATCATCTCTGGTGAGTGGTGGCTATCATCTCTGGTGAGTGGTGGCTATCGTCTCTCGTGAGTGGTGGCTATCATCTCTGGTGAGTGGTGGCTATAGTCTGGTGAGCAGTGGTGAGTCTCTGGTGAGCAGTGCTCACGGTGTTCCTCGCTTGGTGGAGGCTGCACGGGCTGCAGGTCTCTGGCGGTGGCCCTAGGAGCCATCTCGCTGCTGCTGCTGCTGCGGCGTCGCGAGGGCCCGGCCTCGCAGGCGATGCCCAGCTCCTGGGCGAACTCCTCGCCGTACCAGACCAGCAGCTCAGAGCCGGGCCCCACGGCACGGAATGTGCGGTAGTAAATCTGCCCCCGGTGCTGGAAGGCCACCAGGTTCTGCTCCTGCTCATTCCTCGCGCAGTTGACGAACCTGCGCGGGCAGACGCGGGGGCGGGGTGGGCGCCGTTAGCGAGCGCCTATTAAGGGCCGGCACTGGGCGCTACGTGAGGGTGGTGTGGCTGGAACCACGCTCCGTACCGGGTGCTCATTTGATGCCGAGTCGACCAAGGGGAGGCCCAGGGTTGGTCTCTGTGTGTAGTGGGTCTGGTCTCTGTGTGTAGTGGTTCTTGTCTCTGTGTGTGGTGGTTCTGGTCTCTATGTGTAGTGGTTCTGGTCTCTGTGTGTGGTGGTTCTTGTCTCTGTGTGTGGTGGTTCTGGTTTCTGTGTGTGGTGGTTCTGGTCTCTGTGTGTGGTGGTTCTGGTCTCTGTGTGTAGTGGTTCTGGTCTCTGTGTGTGCTGGTTCTTGTCTCTGTGTGTAGTGGTTCTGGTCTCTGTGTGTGCTGGTTCTGGTCTCTGTGTGTAGTGGTTCTGGTCTCTGTGTGTGGTGTTTCTGGTCTCTGTGTGTAGTGGTTCTGGTCTGTGTGTGCTGGTTCTTGTCTCTGTGTGTGGTGGTTCTGGTCTCTGTGTGTAGTGGTTCTGGTTTCTGTGTGTAGTGGTTCTGGTCTCTGTGTGTAGTGGTTCTGGTCTCTGTGTGAAGTGGTTCTTGTCTCTGTGTGTAGTGGTTCTGGTCTCTGTGTGTAGTGGTTCTGGTCTCTGTGTGTAGTGGTTCTGGTCTCTGTGTGTAGTGGTTCTGGTCTCTGTGTGTGGTGGTTCTGGTCTCTGTGTGTGGTGGTTCTGGTCTCTGTGTGTAGTGGTTCTTGTCTCTGTGTAGTGGTCCTTCAGACAATAATCACCTCATCCAGTTTGATTTAGATTCATCCTGAGCATCAACATATTCACGATCCTTTTTGTTTTTGTAAATCTGAAACACACACGCACACGAGCGGATCCACGGATAATTAATGTCAGTTGGACTGTAAGTTGAACTTCTTTCGTACCGCATGTAGCCAACCATGCTGATCGGAGGTGCGGGGGAAGGACAACAAACTAAACACTAAAAGCAGTTCTAAAGAAATGCATTTTCAATCTACAAGATTTTAAAGTGCATAGCTCCCAGTGGCTTCCTAACATTGGAAGGAAGAACCTTCCAGACGGCCGCAGAAGTGCATCTGTAAGCGCCGCGCCATGCGGTGACCACCGTCTTTGCTGTGTGTTACAAGTTCAAATAATTACGTTAATTTTTGGGTCTCTCTGTGATTCTGGGGGTCTTTGGGTGAGTCTCTAGGTCTCTGTACGAGTCTCTGGGTCTCTGTGCGAGTCTCTAGGGTATCTGTGCGACTCTGGGTCTCTGTGTGAGACTGTGGGTCTCTGTGCGATTCTCTTGGTCTCTGTGCGAGTCTCTGGGTCTCTGTGTGAGACTGTGGATCTCTCTGTGCGATTCTCTGAGCATCTGTGTGAGTATCTGGGTCTCTCTGTGTGAGTCTCTGGGTCTCTGTGTGAGTCTGTGTGTCCCACTGTGAGTCTCTGGGTCTCTGTTCAAGTCTCTAGGTCTCTGTGCAAGTCTGTGGGTCTCTCTATGCGAGTCTCTGGGTCTCTGTGCAAAGTCTCTGGGTCTCTCTGTGCCAGTCTCTGGGTCTCTGTGTGAGTCTGTGGGTGACTGTGTGAGGCTATGGGTCTCTGTGCGAGTCTATGGGTCTCTGTGTGAATCTATGGGTCTCTGTGCGAGTCTATAGGTCTCTGTGCGAGTCTATGGGTCTCTGTGCGAGTCTATGGGTCTCTGTGTGAGTCTATGGGTTTCTGTGCGAGTCTATGGGTCTCTGTGTGAGTCTATGGGTCTCTGTGAGTCTCTGGGTCTCTCTGTGCCAGTCTCTAGATCTCTGTGTAAGTCTGTGGGTGACTGTGTGAGGCTATGGGTTTCTCTGCATCTCCTTCACGAGCCTCCTCTCCACACACACGATGATGATGTAGGAATAGGAGGAGGCTGCAGCAGTAGCAGCAGCAGCTCACCAGCCAGCAGTACTCGCTCACGGGGTTCTCCTCAGACACCTCTCCCTGGTAGGGCCCAAACATCACCCCCTTGGGCAGCTTCTTCCTGTTGCTCCACACCCCGAGGCCGGCGCCGGCGATGGAGGAGGCGCCGACGGTGAGGCCCTGGGGCAGGCTGAGCCGGGCCCTGTTGGCCACTCCCGGGGCCACGGCCGCGTCTGCAATGAACTCTGGCGGGCCGTGCACGGAGCACTCCCCCAGGTAGAAATCCCTGCACAGCTCGCAGACTGAGAGCCACAGCAGCAGCAGCAGGAGGAGGGCGAACCGCAGTAGCAACAGCAGCAGCAGCAGTGGCACTGTGAGAGAGTGAGAGGGTGAGGAGCGCTCCAGACAGATGCCTCCTTTCCTCCCTCTCTGCATTGTGAACTTCTTTAGCTCGCTCATCGGAGATGTAAACCCTGTCACCCTCCCTGCTCCCTCCCTGCATCCCTGAGTGAGGGAGCAAAAGACAGGGAGGTAAGTGAGAGTGCGAGAAAGGGAGCGTGTGAGAGGGAGGGAAAGGGAGAGAGAGTGAGAGGGAGCAGGTGGAATATATCGAGTGAGAGCGCGGGAGCAATAGAGAGAGATAGGAGAGAGTGTGAGAAAGTTAGAGTAAGGGGCCGTCCATAAATGACGTCATGCACCTAGGGGGGTGGGGGGGTCAGACATTTGTGACGATGTGTGAGGAACCACAGACAACACGTTCTACTTAATTAAATACTTTTTAATAAATGTTTTCTCCTACAACATCAGACTGCAGTGCCACATTAAATATGCACTACAATGACAATAGTTTGAAGCGATTTTAAGCATATTAAATGAGCTTTGTGACGTCACATTTGAGGGGGGGGTCTGACTTTTTGTGATGTCGTGTGATGGGGGGGAGGGGGGTCCAAAATCGCGTGACGCCATTAATGGACGGCCCTAAGAGAGTGTGAGAAAGTGACAGTGTGAGAGAGAGTGTGAGAAAGTGACAGTGTGAGAGAGAGGTGAGAAAGTGACAGTGTGAGAGAGAGAGAGTGAGAAAGTGACGGTGTGAGAGAGAGTGTGAGAAAGTGACAGTGTGAGGAGAGAGAGTGAGAAAGTGAGAGAGAGAGTGAGAGGGAGCAGGGGGTCTCACAGAAGAAGTCGTCGTCCTGGGGCTCCTCCACCTCTGTGTAGACTTTCCTCTCGCGCGGGCGCATGCCGTAGCGAGAGCGAGGCGCTGCGCGACACCGCCACAGCCTGGGCGGAGGCCGGCGGCACGGAGGAGCCTGCAGGCAAACACGGCGAGATGTTGACTACCTCTCGTGGTATACGGGAGGTCGTGGGTTCCATCCCGACCCTGACGAAGCCTGCTGTATATTTGGAGTCTGCGTGTCTCTCTCTCCTCCGTGGCGAGAGGTTAACTCCCTCGCATGGTCTACAGGAGGTCGTGGGTTCCATCCCGACTGTATAGTTTACAACATGTTACCCTATTTGTATTTTTGTATTTTTAGATTGTATATTATGGCTAGTTTACATTTTATATTGTACACTTATTCACAATTTTACATACTTTAGCCCCTTAGTATTAGTTAGACTTTGTAATTTTAGTATAGTTTGACTGTATACCACTCATTTCAGTTTTAAGATTCCTACATGTTGAATGTATGCACCTTCCGGCCATAGTAAATTCCTTGTCTGTGCAAACTTTCATGGCGAATACCTCCCCGTGGTTGCGTGGATTTTTCTCCGGGTCCTTCGTTTTTTTCCCTCGACATATAGAACCAACGTCATGCGTTGAGAATATTTGGCTGCTATAAATGTCCACGTAATGACGATGATGACAAGTCACTTCGTTGAGCTCTTATTTGTGATAGCCAGTCGCTTCTGAAAAACAGCTACACAGCTCAGTGGGGCACACCCTGGTTGCTAATCCTGCATAATGCACGGGCATAAGTAGTATTAATCACATACCTGCATTTCCCATATCCCCTCCCTTTGATGCTGCTAGTCCTGCATAATGCACGGGCATAAGTAGTACTAATCACATACCTGCATTTCCCATATCCCCTCCCTTTGATGCTGCTAATCCTGCATAATGCACGGGCATGAGTAGTACTAATCACATACCTGCATTTCCCATAAATATGCTAAATGCCTCTTGATATGCATATTCTTTTGTCAAGGCGCTCTTTTCCCCCCTTCCAACCCAGCTTATATATATGCTCCAAGCACGTGTGCTGTATCATTCAGACGCTGTCGCCTCGACAGACCTGGTTTTCACCTGAGGACGGCTGCTTGCGTTGTGGCCGAAACGTCGTGAGAATTGTTTTGTTATGTTTTATTTTTATTATTTTATTACTTCCCTTCTACGTGACTTTACCGAAAGAACCAATAAGAAAAATAAACATCGTTTAGTTCATAGGCTGCATCAGTACCAGCAGCAGCCCTGACAGGAGCACATGTAGCAGTAGCATCAACAGCAGTGGCGACTTCCATCAGCACTAACAGAAGATTGCGGAGTTCCGGTGAGAATAGAGGGGAGCGTGGAGTTCCGGTGAGAATAGAGGGGAGTGTGGAGTTCCGGTGGGAATAGAGGGGAGTGTGGAGTTCCGGTGGGAATAGAGGGGAGTGTGGAGTTCTGGTGAGAATAGAGGGGAGTGTGGAGTTCTGGTGGGTATAGAGGGGAGTGTAGAATTCCGGTGAGAATAGAGGGGAGTGTGGGGTTCCGGTGAGAATAGAGGGGAGCGTGGAGTTCTGGTGAGAATAGAGGGGAGTGTGGAGTTCCGGTGAGAATAGAGGGGAGTGTGGAGTTGCGGTGGGAATAGAAATCACCGCTGCAGGCTACGCACCTCCACGTATCCTCTGGAGCGCCACCCTCAGGGCCTCCTTGCAGGCGGTGGCTCTGCGCTCCAGCCTGAACATCGCCATCCTGGCCTTGTGCACCTCCCTCAGCTCAAATCCCCTGAACTCCTCCTCCTGCTGCTCCTCCTCCTCCACGCCCTGCAAGATGCTCCACACGTACTCCAGGGCTTCCGCTTTAGTCTGAGCGGAGGGGGCGGTGGGGTGAGGGGGCGGAGGGGGTGTGGGGGCGGAGTTGGTGCGGTGACCAGCGGTGGCTAGGAGATGTTAACTCCCTCGCCTGGTACGCAGGAGGTCGCGGGTTCCATCTCGACCCTGACACCTCATCGGATTCCTCCAGTACAATACATATTTTAATTCTGATATTCTGAATCTGTAAATCTGATTCCATACATCAAGCAGAACCATGCCGTCATGCTGAACCTCGGTGGGTATGGCAGGCCATGCCTCTTCACAACTCAACTAATTAATAAACTAATTATAATAATGTAGTGGACACCGTGACGACAGAGACAGTTGAAGTAGAGGCAACCCATATTTATTAACTCTGAGCCCGTTACAGCTTCACACTTGAAGAGGTAACGGCCTCTTCACCCGTTCTCTCAAGGGAGCTAACTCCCCAAGCTAACTCACCGACTCCCCACCAATACTACGACCCTCCTCTCAAGGAGACTACCTGACCTGGCCCAGCCAAGGCACAGGTCCCGACCACCAGCCACACGAATCCGGCCCTTACAAGGACATCAGCCTTCGCGGCTCTGGGGTCGCACCACTGGCTTGCTCTGCCCGGCCTTTAGAAGGACAGCGGGTCAGAGGAGTCCCAGGGTCTAGCTAGCTGGACTTCAGCTGGTTCTTCGTCCTTGGCTTGTTCGAACTAACTCTCTCCTCTCAGAGTCTCGCCTTTTATACGATTCCCCACTGAGGGGCGGGGTTCTGTGGGATCACACACACCCCACAGCCCCCTCCCCTCGGGAGGGGCCCCGGCTAGGGATATCACAACCGCCCCGCACAGGTAAGTAATGGGAGTTAACCGGAGCTGGTGTGCGCGCGTTCCAATACCACCACCACCACAATAATGACGCACGTCTCTGGTATAATTATATAGAAATTACTTTTATAACACAGACCAGTGGAACATTTTTTTGTACTTTTCGTAACAGCTATTTTCATTGGAGTATATGACAGGTGAGGCTCTGCCTCGCCCGTCTCCCCTGACCGCACGTCCCTGGTATAGCAGTGTCTAGTAGTATGTATGTACGTTGAATGTCTTTGTCACCGTACGTAGCCAACCTCGCTAATGGGAGGTGCGGGGGAAGGACAACAAACTAAAGACAACAGCAGCAGCAGCTGTAACGAGAGGAGTGCCGTGCGCTGTGCACAGAGACCTTGCGCTTGCTGGAAGCTGCCCTCGCGTGAGACTCTCCCACGGTGGCCCAGCGTGAAGCAGCCCCCTTGCCTCCTCCTGCGTGAACACACGCACACACGTGAACACACGCACACACGTGAACACACGCACACACGTGAACACACGCACACACGTGAACACACGTGTGAACACACGGACACGCATGAACATATGCAAGGACAAAGCTCCCCGTATAGCCTTAACAGACTGTAGGGGCAAGTGCTGTTAGTGAGCACCTATGAAGGCCAGAACGGTACACGAGGGGGTGGGTGGCCAGCACCACGCCCGACCGTCTTTGTCTCCCCAGTGGTGATGTTTACACACCGCACCAGGTACTCAGTTGAGGCTGAGCCGACATAGGGGAGGCACAGGACCGGTTCAAATAATCGTCACTGGTGTTGACCGTGAGCGGGAATCGAACCCGGGTCGCCGGGTTCATAGCGCAGCGCGCTAACCGCTACACTACCGCTCCCCATATGCACACGCGTTAACACACGCACACACGTGTGAACACACGGAAATGCATTAACACACACACACACGTGTGAACACACCCACACGCGTATTTACGCATGCAAACATTTACTCACTCACATATTTACCAAAAAGTCAATGATCTCCCCTGTGCCGCCTTAACAGACTGTTGTCACAGGACAGAACCAGGTGCCATGCCATGGGTTGACTGTTGTGCCAGGCTAGGTGCAGGTCACGAGACGGACCCTGCAGGTGCCATAGGTTTACTGAGATGACTGCCAGATGCACCACCTGTGCCCGCGACTGTGCCAACTCGGTCCACAATTAAAAAGATGCCCCGTGTAGCCTTCACAGACTGTTGCGGTCAAGTGCTGTCAGCAAGCAGCATCTACGAAGGCCAGCACGGCACACGGGGGGATGGGCAGCTAGCAACACGCCCGACCGTCTTTGTCTCCCCAGTTGTGATGTTTACTACACACCACTGCACCGGGTACTCATTTTGACGCTGAGTCAACCTAGGGGAGGCTCAGGACCGGTTCGGATCGTCGTCACTGGTGTTGGCCGTGAGCGGGCATTTAACTTGGTTCCGCTGGTGATTACAACCAGCTTCATCAAGCGAGTCTACAGGGGTCTCTGCGTGAGTCTACAGGGGGTCTCTGTGTGAGTCTACAGGGGTCTCTGCGTGAGTCTACAGGGGGTCTCTTGTGAGTCTACAGGGTCTCTGTGTGAGTCTACAGGGGTCTTTGTGTGAGTCTTCAGGGGGTCTCTGTGTGAGTCTACAGGGGGTTTCTGTGTGAGTCTACAGGGGTCTCTGCGTGAGTCTACAGGGGGGTCTCTGTGTGAGTCTACAGGGGGTTTCTGTGTGAGTCTACAGGGGGTCTCTGTGTGAGTCTACAGGGGGTCTCTGTGTGAGTCTACAGGGGTCTATGTGAGTCTACAGGGGGTCTCTGTGTGAGTCTACAGGGGTCTCTGCGTGAGTCTACAGGGGGTCTCTGTGTGAGTCTACAGGGGGTCTCTGTGTGAGTCTACAGGGGGTCTCTGCGTGAGTCTACAGGGGATCTCTGCATGAGTCTACAGGGGGTCTCTGCGTAAGTCTACAGGGGTCTCTGTGTGAGTCTACAGGGGTCTCTGCGTGAGTCTACAGGGGTCTCTGTGTGAGTCTACAGGGGGTCTCTGCGTGAGTCTACAGGGGGTTCTGTGTGAGGGGTCTCTGGTAGTCACAGGGGGTCTCGTGTGAGTCTACAGGGGGTTTCTGTGTGAGTCTACAGGGGTCTCTGTGTGAGTCTACAGGGGGTCTCTGTGTGAGTCTACAGGGGTCTCTGCGTGAGTCTACAGGGGGTCTCTGTGGGAGTCTACAGGGGGTCTCTGTGTGAGCTACAGGGGGTCTCTGCGTGAGTCTACAGGGGGTCTCTGCGTGAGTCTACAGAGGGTCTCTGTGTGAGTCTACAGGGGGTCTCTGTGTTAGTCTACAGGGGGTATCTGTGTGAGTCTATAGGGGTCTCTGCGTGAGTCTACAGGGGGTCTCTGCGTGAGTCTACAGGGGGTCTCTGCGGAGTCTACAGGGGGTCTCTGTGTGAGTCTACAGGGGGTCTCTGCGTGAGTCGAGAGGGGGTCTCTGTGTGAGTCTACAGGGGTCTCTGTGTGAGTCTACAGGGGTCTCTGTGTGATTCTACACAGGGTCTCTTGTGAGTCTTCAGGGGGTTTCTGCGTGAGTATACAGGGGGCCTCTGTGTGAGTCTACAGGGGTCTCTGTGTGAGTCTACAGGGGGTCTCTGTGTGAGTCTACAGGGGGTCTCTGCACGGTCTGCAAGCGCCCTTTTACGTTTGCCTCTTCGTCCTCCGTGCAATCGCCACCTCCTTCCTCTTCCTCCTCCCCGTCCACTCCTCGTCGGAGTCGCTCGACCGCCCGCACTCCGCTCTATTCCCCCTCGCCCTGCGCTTGCCGCGTGCGCGCATGAACTCGGGCTGGGCCGGGTTCATCCCTGCGCAAGGAGGCAGTCGGTCATTGTTATTTGTACGTATTGGCAGTACACCCGTGCAGCATAGCAACACACCGGGTCCTCGTAACACAGTCCTGACGATGTGATTACTATCAGAGCGTGTTTGTTTGCGTGTTCAACACAAGTACGCGTGGTTAATGCAGTAACTTGATTCCTTGCAAAAAGGAATCATCTATTTGGTGTGTGAACATCTTAACAGCTCCTGTTTTATTGCCAGAAAGGGTAAAACCGATTCCTATTTTTTATACTTTGATTCTGGCAAAAAGGTCCAATGATATAGCTACTCACCCCGAGCTATAAATGCTCTTGACACTGCATTGTCTTTGTACTGGTCGCCTTTTGGTGTTGTTCTCTGGTCTGACACTGGTGAGACTAGGCCATGAAGAAGGCTGTCTCTGGGGTAGACCAATCAGTATCAAAGACAATGATTAAATGTTATCAGAGAGTGTTTGTTTGCGTGTTCAGTACGCGTGGTTAATGCAGTAACCTGATTCCTTGCAAAAGCTATAATCTATCTGGTGTTTGAACATCTTAACACCTCCTGTTTCATTCCCATAAAGAGTAAAACCGATTCTTATTTTTCATAGTCCCGACGATGTCGCCGTTGCCCCTTGAGTGAGCTGCAGGACTCTCCATCAGAAGTTGCACTCAGATTCAGCAGCCGCGTCCCCCATTCCGAACGTGCGGTGGCGACACCACGAGTCGTATCGAGGCACCGTCCGACCGAGTCTCTAGGGGCACGAGGAGTCCAATCTTGCCACTGGAGCACGGAGCAGCCGATCGTCATCAGACTGGGCGCCGCTGTACGGCAACAGACTGCGAAGCTTCGTGTTCAGTGCTGCTCATGTCACGTTCCGTCTTCCCACCGCTTTGGCATCACGACAACTGATTTGACGCACCACCACCACCCCAAAATATCCTTCTGTCTGGGGTCTCGAATCGCGAGGAAATAAATAACTTTTGCCAAAAATGTGATGATTATTTCATACAGCGCAACGGTGTACCGCTACTACGTTCATTTATATTATTTGGCTGCTACAATAACTCCAAGCAATACAGTAAACACGATAGGAGTGCAAAGTATAGAAAAGGTAAACAAATTACACACACACAAAATACATTTTTTTTGTAAATATTCTTTGGTTCTTTCGGCAAAGTCACGTAGATAGAAAAATAAAGTGAATACAAATAATCAAAAACCACAAAAACGTTCATCCTCACTGATGTTGCTAGACTGGTATCTTAGCGCTTTTGAGGGTTGCAGCAATTTCAGATCTTGAACGTCTGCAGCGATGCGCCCCAAACCCTTAAGAGCGACATCGACCTGGGCAATAACGTCATCCACTGGAATGTGTTTGGGGGTGACTGAGAAGTTCAACCCTTTAGCCAAAACCGACTTTAGACCATCGCACATTGGGCTATTACTCAGATTAATAACAACCTTGTCAACGTCTAACCTTTTAACGTGTGGATCTGGTTTCTTGTTAGAAAGGAGGTTGAACTCGAAAATCAGATCTTTACATTTCGCTGACATTGTAGTGGCTGATTAAGCGGTCATGTTATCTACATGTTCCCAATCAGATGTCGACATTTTTCCCGTCAATGTTAAGTGTGATTTCAAGAGTGTCTTGTCTACATGATCTAGTTCAGTATGGAGCAGTCTAATTCTCTCTGAGATCAGGGCCAAGCTCGCCCTGAACAAAATTCGTCTGGCATTGGAAGATGTGACTGCAGCAGAAATCAGTGTCAATGAGATCGGTATTACGTTAGAGTCACGGCATCTCTTCAGAAATGTGAGTGACTCGATCAGATGAACTTTCTTGTCACGGAGATTGTTAAAAGATCTCATGGTTATGTGGAAACCCTCCCAATAGAGGCAGTTCAAATGATACAAATTAAGTGAATAAAAAATTATAAAAATAAGACACTAATTAGACTGCTCCATAAAAAAAACACTAATGTATACATTTCAATTTAAAGCTTTCGTGACTGCAGGGATTCATCTTCTTGGTTCTTTCGGTAAAGTCACGTAGAAGGGAAATAATAAAATATTAAAAAGAAAACATTAAAATTGTATTTTAATAATTGTATTTTATGTTTTTTTCCCTTCTATGTGACTTTACCGAAAGAACCAAGAAGACTAATTTATAACTCAAAAGTTTTGATTATACATGAGTGCTTTATCATTTTTATTATTCACTTTATTTTATTTTAGTTTTTCTATCTACGTCACTTTATCGAAAGAACCAAAGAATATGAATTCCTGCAGTCACGAAAGTTTTAAGTCAAAATAAACTATTTTTGTAAATGTTGTGGGTTTACTCTCCAACATTATGAATCCGTAGGTAAAAAATAAAATTTAAATTAATAAAAGTACTTTTATAAATTTTAATTTACTTTGATTAATTTTAATTTTATTTTTTACCTACGTGACTAGAATTATGAATCCGATGAGCTATGAAGCTCTTTTCATAGATGTCCCATAGGGGGCACGGGGTCAGAAAGTTACAACACAAAACACAAACACGATAGGCGTGCAAAGTAGAGTAAAGGTAAACAAATCATTAAACTAAAACTAAATCTATTTTTACTTCACCAGGTGAAGTCCACTGAGCTATTGGCTACGTCTTCAGAAGCGACCTGGCTGCCACAAATGACAGCTCAACCAAGTGGCTTACCACGTGGACATTTATAGCAGCAGACAAATACTCTGAACGCGTGATGTTGATTCTACAAGTGGAGCAAAAACCCGGAGGACCGGGATCTAACCCACGACCTCCTGTAGACCATGAGAGGTAGTTAACATCTCACCGGGGAGAGACACACGCAGACTCCAGATATATGACAGGCATCGTCAGGGTCGGGAAACGAACCCACGACCTCCTGTAGACCAGGAGAGGGAGTTAACATCTCACCGGGAAGAGACACACGCAGACTCCAGATATATGACAGGCATCGTCAGGGTCGGGAACGAACCCACGACCTCCTGTAGACCAGGAGAGGGAGTTAATATCTCACCAGGGAGAGACACACGCAGACTCCAGATATATGACAGGCATCGTCAGGGTCGGGAACGAACCCAAGACCTCCTGTAGACCAGGCGAGGTAGTTAACATCTCGCCACCATGGCGCCCCATGCATGCCACTCTGCTACGACGTCCTTGGTCTCATCATTATAATCACTGCGACAATTAGTTGAGTTGCGAAGAGGCTCGGCCTGCCGTACCCACCGAGGTTCAGCAGGACGGCGTGGTTCTGCTTGATGTTCCTGTAGCGCCGCTTCTCGCACTCGGCCAGATCGCTCCACTCGGCCTTGGTGAAGAAGCCTCTGATGTCTCGGAAGTCGCCCATCTCCTGCTGCTGCTGAGGCGCAGAGACACGGAGGGACGAGACGCGGACGACGGTCAGATGCAGTCACGGAGATGGAGTCACACGGAGACAGAGTCACAGGGAGACAGAGTCACAGGGAGACAGAGTCACACGGAGACAGAGTCACAGGGAGACAGTCACAGGGAGACAGAGTCACAGGGAGACAGTCACACTGAGACAGAGTCACAGGGAGACAGAGTCACAGGGAGACAGAGTCACAGGGATACGAGACTAAGATCCCCCGTGTGGCCTTAACAGACTGTCGGGTCAAGCGCTGTGAGCGAGTAGCGGCGCCTATGAAGGCCGGAACGACACACGAGGGGGGGGTGGGTGGCCAGCACCACGCCCGGCCGCCTTTGTCTCCCCAGTGGCGATGTTCCCTACACACCGCTACACCAGGAACTCATTTGAGGCCGAGTCGACCTAGGGGATGAGGCCCAGGACCGGTTCAGAAAATCGTCACCGGTGAGGTAACTTTACCTCAGATGAGGTAACTTCACTTCATGCGAGGTAACATTACATTAGGTGAAGTAAAATTACTTCAGGTGAGGTAACTTTTCCTTACCTCATGCGAGGTAACTTTACCTCGCGGGAGGTAACATTACCTCAGGTAAATGTAACATTACTTGAGGTAATCCGAACGTATTCACATCACTTCAGCTAATGTTCATATTTTTACGCTAATATCGTAATATCGTCACGTGGTTAAATCGTTAAACACAACGCTCGCGTGACGTCACCACCTCAGTGTCGAGCCGTCGACACTTCACGCGGCAGCCTCGAAGTGCACCCAGCCTGGCACAGGCGCCGTGGTGACGTCACCGTCACTCAGTGGCCAATGGCGGCGATTGGTGGTGGGGGAGTGGGGGGGTGGGGGTGGGGGGAGTGGGGGGAGGCGGTGGGGGGAATGGCGGTTGGTGAGTGGTGGGACGGGTGAGAGGAGTGGGGGGAGTGGGTGGGGTTTTATAATTATCGGAGGTTTTTTCGGTAAAGTCACGAAGGTACAAAAAATGTAATAAAAGTAAAATAAAAAAAATAAAAATTAATGAAAGTAAAATAAAATAAAAATCACGACGTTTCTTTTTTTTTACCTACGTGACTTTACCGAAAAATCTAAGAATATGAATCCTTGCAGTCACGAAAGCTTCAAATCTAGAATTATCTGAGTCGCAAAAGTTAGCTCAAGTGAGGTAACATTACCTCAGATAGAGGTAACTTTACCTCAGGTGAAGTAGCTTTTCCTCAGGTAAGGTAACTTTACCTTAGGCGAGATAACTTTACCTTAGGCAGAGGTAAAATTGCCTCAAATGAGGTAACTTTACCTCATGCGAGGTAACAACATTACCTTAGGTGAAGTAAAATTACTTCAGATGAGGAAACTTTTCTGAGGTGAATTAACTTTACTTCAGGTAGAGGTAACATTTCCCCAGGTATGGTAACTTTACCTCAGGTGATATAACTTTATCTCAGAGAGAGATAACTTCACCTCAGGTGAGGTAACTCTATCTCAAGTGAAGTAAGATTACATTAGGAAGAGGTAACTTCAGGTGAGATAACTTTACCTCAGATAGAGGTAACTTAACCTCACCTGAGGTGACTTTACCTCAGGCGAGGTAACTTTACCTCAGGCGAGGTAATGTTACCTCGCGGGAGGTAACATTACCTCAGGTAAATGTAGCATTACTTGATGTAATCCGAACGTATTCACGTCACTTCAGCTAATGTTCATATTTTTACGCTAATATCGTAATATCGTCACGTGGTTAAATCGTTAAAACACAACGCTCGCGTGACGTCACCACCTCAGTGTCGAGCCGTCGACACTTCACGCGGCAGCCTCGAAGTGCACCCAGCCTGGCACAGGCGCCGTGGTGACGTCACCGTCACTCAGTGGCCAATGGCGGCGGTTGGTGGTGGGGGGGAGTGGGGGGTGGGAGGGAGGAGGGGGTGGGGGGGGAATGGCGGTTGGGGGAGTGGGGGGGAGGGGCATCGGGGGTGGGGGTGAGTGGGCGGGAAAAGGGGTGGGGGCGGAATTGCGGTTGGTGAGTGGTGGGAGGGGGGAATGGAGGGTGGGAGGGGTGGGGAGTAACGGGGGAGTGGGGGGGGCGAGACGCGTGACGTCACCACGCAGTGACGTCATCAGAGTTTTTAAGTTTAAAATTTTATTCTGGAGGAATCCGATGAGCTGTGAAGCTCTTTATTATCCACAGATGTCCAGTAGGGGCACGTGGTCAGAACGCCACAACAACAAACACAACACAATAAACACCGTAGCAGTGCAGAGTAGAGGAAAGGTAGGCACATGACCAAGACAAATCTGTAGGGGCGTGTGAATTGAACTCTGTAGGGGCGTGTGAATTGAAATCTGTAGGGGCGTGTGAATTGAAATCTGTAGGGGCGTGTGAATTGAATTCTGTAGGGGCGTGTGAATTGAAATCTGTAGGGGCGTGTGAATTGAATTCTGTAGGGGCGTGTGAATTGAAATTTGTAGGGGCGTGTGAATTGAAATCTGTAGGGCGTGTGAATTGAAATCTGTAGGGGCGTGTGAATTGAATTCTGTAGGGGCGTGTGAATTGAAATTTGTAGGGGCGTGTGAATTGAAATCTGTAGGGGCGTGTGAATTGAAATCTGTAGGGGCGTGTGAATTGAATTCTGTAGGGGAGTGTGAATTGAAATCTGTAGGGGCGTGTGAATTGAAATCTGTAGGGCGTGTGAATTGAAATCTGTAGGGGAGTGTGAATTGAAATCTGTAGGGGCGTGTGAATTGAAATCTGTAGGGGCGTGTGAATTGAAATCTGTAGGGGAGTGTGAATTGAAATCTGTAGGGGAGTGTGAATTGAAATCTGTAGGGCGTGTGAATTGAAATCTGTAGGGCGTGTGAATTGAAATCTGTAGGGCGTGTGAATTGAATTCTGTAGGGGAGTGTGAATTGAAATCTGTAGGGCGTGTGAATTGAAATCTGTAGGGCGTGTGAATTGAAATCTGTAGGGGAGTGTGAATTGAAATCTGTAGGGCCGTGTGACTTGCAATCTGTCGGACAGTGTGATGTGTAATTTTGTTGGGTCATAGTGTTACCATCCTTGAGGTGCAGGGATGACGACTAGGATTGGTGTTGTTAGGATTAGCAGCGAGCAGTTGTGACCAGGTGCTGCTGTGTGTAACGATTACAGATAATGTGGGGGTCGCTAGCCCCCGAGATCCCTCCCTCGATAATGCTAACGGCCGGGCTAGCATCATCAATCGCCCCCCCGCTGCTAAGCGAACCGCTGCTAAGTTCCTCACCCATGGTGTGGGAGCCGTCGCCCGAGGGTTCCACCCCACCGCGGGTCCGCGTAGCAGGCATGATTAATTACGTACGCGCACACCCACACACACAGCTCCGTACGGCACTCACTCTTGCGCTTCTCTGCGCCGCGCTGGCCGCTCACGTTACAATCGCGCACCTGGGGTACGCCGATTTCGCACGACGAGAGCTTACGCATACCCCGTACCACACGCGTTCACACTTATAACACGTAACGAGCACACGCCAGCGGGGCACACGCCGACACAACGACTAAAGTCGCCGCCGCCGTGCGCGCGAGATAAACCGTACAACAATGCGCAGCCGATTACGCTATGATCGCGCACCTGGGGGACGCCGATTACGCACGCTGCGAGCTTACGCACACACAGTACCACACGCGTTCCCACACGCTCACACTGCACGACAAGATCACGCGAGACCACGCTTCGCTATTAATGATTTATTACCTGATAACTAATGTTGAATTAGTGAGTCGACGAGGCTGGCCTATTCCACTAAACCGGCACCTATTCCCTATTTATCGGCTATGATTCTAAGTCACCTTCTTACTCACTGTTAAGTGTCCACGGCGGTCCGCTGATCCTGTGTTAACCGCGTGCCTCGGTGCGTCGCACGGACGTCCGGGTCGCTGGCTCGAGCTGCGTCTGGTCGCCTGGCGCTGGAGTAAGAGAGCGATTTCCCCTCTGCGCTCCTCTATTTATCCTCCCTACCTCCAAAGGGGATGCTGCGCTGAACAATGGGCTCGTGCACCCCAAGCCCGCGCACGGCAGTCCCCAGGCGCTGTTGATATGCTAATCAGTGAGCGACGTTGGCGGCGTACATCCTAATTACTCCCTTACCCTTCCTAACAATGGGGCCTGCGCGCTCAAGCGCAATTATCCCAACCCCCCATGACTATGCGCAACAGCCCCTGTGACCCCGCTATTCATGCTGTCTCGTGCCTCCCCTGCTTGCCCCGTCGACTCGTGGGGGTGTGTGTGGGGGGAAATGCGCCTCAACCGCGGTGGCCGAATGCCCCACGCCGCGACCACACCATATTAAGGCCGGCAGCAGCACCGCGGTACCACGTAGCACGGGGGAGGTCATCCAATTCCCTGATCGCCGGAAACCGTGAGAATTAATCCCGATAAGGGTCTCTCGGATAAAAAACCGGTCGATCAGGTAACCTTCCCTTCCAGCTCTATGGGGGGGGGGGGGGGATGCGTGCGGTGTGTGCTTATGTGGGGCGGGTGATGGGGGGCAGTGCGGTGGGGGGAAGCCGGGCGGCTCCCTGGCTCGGCAGAGCGGCCCCGTCGCTGTGGCACCACATAGCCCCCCGGGGTGCCAGTCCCCGTCCCGGGTTGACTTGAGCACCTCGCCTGGGTTGCCCCCACGAGGTATCGCCGCGGGGTCCGCGGGATTCGCCCGGCCCTTGTGGCTGGCCTCGGGGGTGGCGGCTCCGTCTCCTGGGGCTCCGGCGGTGGTCTCCTCCTCCATTCCAACGGCTCCCCTCGGCCTCTGGCACCTGCGGGCTGGGGAACAAACTCAGAGGCGGTGGGGTTTAAGGGTCGCCGTCCTCGTCGCCCCCGGCCCCGCCCGGGGCCCCTCGGAGCCCGGGGCTCCGTGGGGCCCATGTACTGCGCGAGGCCCCCGGGCACGGGGGGTGGGGGGACCCCGGGGTTTCGGGGTACTTGGA